CAGCTAAAACCAAATCCCAAATATCGGAGACTCATAATGACATCGTGAGAGTTAGCGAGGCAGCAGCTCCCCTGGTGATTGTAACAACACCGGTGCTTGAGAAGAGTCTTTGCTTCAAGGCATCTGGAATTGCTCTTGCAAGATCCATTGTCAAATGAGCTTTTTCCTTTGTTTAAAAATGTCAGCCCGAAGACCCCTGCCAGAGTAGTGGTATAGCCTGCTTGGGTTCACTCTGGCTCCCACAAGGCTTCAACAGTCCTCTTTGCCCCTCCTTGTCTCCAGGCTTAATTAGGAAATCATTTATCTTTATTGGCACTCTCTTTCCCCTGCTGCTTTGGCATTATTATTTTTTTTTGCCTTCATTCCAGTGCAGTGAGCTGTACAGGGAAGACCACAGCCCCATTCATTGTGGGTGGGGAATAATCTACAACTGGGAGCCCTACAAGGAAGACCCCAGCAATGAATCTGCTCCAACTGGTATCGCCTGAGGGACTACTGTACAGAAACAGGAGAGGAGGGTATCCCTTGGCTCCACTTACAGGCTAACAATAGGGATTCCTGGTGATACTGAAAGTAGGACACTACTCCCAAGGGATGTCATATGGTCAGCCTGTCCCAAACTGAACTGCCAACCCTCTCCAACCTAATGTTACGCCTGCTTCATCTCCCTTGGTAAAAGAGCACACAAAGAGAAGGGGCTGTAAGGACAGCCACAGCTCGGGGACTATCAGGCTCCTGGACTCCAGCTGAGGATCTACATGTCCCAGGCTGAGCCCTGAGCATGACTTCAAGCGGGGAAGGTTCTCCACACCTCCAGAAACAGAAAATCCTTTGGCTTTCTCCACAGCTGGCATCTGACTGTTTGCCAGGATAGTCAGGGAGTCAAAACCCAACTGAACTTCACGGGAGCCAGTGGCCTCAGTCAGATCACAGCCACACTCAGCCGAAAATGGCATCACTTTGGCAGCTCAGAGGGAGAGCCACTCACTAGGCTGTGCTTCCACTGCCACAGGCAATTCTTTCTGGGTAATTGCTCTAGGTTCCCCATCAACCGTGTTTTATTCAAATTGAGATGGAGATAAAATTCCGGCCAATAATTTCTTCCACCTTAAAGAGAAGTTTCCCCTTCGTGCAAGCCAGGCTTGCCCCAGCCTGTCACACTAATTACAGATGGAACATGTAGTTCAGAAAGGAGGAATCAGAATTGTTCCCCTCCCTCCAGCAAATATCCATTGAAAAAATAAACCTGACTCCTTTGCCTGATGGCACCAGAAACTTTGCTGGTAAGTTTAAAAACAAGAGGGAAGATGACTGATGGAAAAGGTGAAGAGCTGAAATGTAGTCAAATGCTCCTCTCCTCCTTACAACACATACACCCCTTATTTTTAAAGAGATCTCCTTTTCTAGGGATCAGATGAAAACCTGATCATAAAATAAAAGGGCTTCAATTACGCTTTCCAGAGACCTCCAGGCTCTTTAAACACACGGGGGAGGAAAGCCAGGAATGAGTCACAGAGGGCAACCGTGCTCTGCATATCTCCCATCCCATGCCTCTGCATGCTAGGGGTCACAGAGTTGCAGACAGATTCCAATGCAGAGCTGTGCTCAGCTCTGCCAGGGACTCACAGGGCCAAGGGAAACACCACGGACAACACCTCCACATCCTGGAGGGCTCCTTTTCCCTGGCTCCAGCAGAAAACTCTCTCAGGTCTTTGGATCACACTTTTAAAGAAATGTTCCTGTGCACCTGGCCAGGTCCTGCATAGTCTGAGAAGCTTTTTGCCTTGTGTCCCTTCTCTGTGAAGGTCCCTCCCCAGTGCTCCATTTCTGGCCCTCTGAGACCCCCACTCTATTCTGAACTGAAAGGAAGCACAGAGGATTATCTGGAGACCAATGTTATCTCTTAAGTGGAGCCAGATGTATAAACCCCATCATTCTTGAATTAATCATCAGAGGGTAAGATTTCCTTTCAGAGCTTTACAGTTTAGGATGCTTATCCTTCCCTGGAGTCCTCTCCTAACATGCTGGAAGTAATGATTTACACCCATATCCCGTGTCCCTCTATTAAACTCAACCCCACCAGCTACATAATGAAGACATCAAAGTCACAAGGGCTCCTGGCCCCTCAGTCTGCACTGAGCAATTTTTAATGTTTGTTCCATGCAGACAACACTTGAATGAGGCAGGTCCAATGCCAGTGGACACTCTGCCTCAAGGGGTTTTTAGCACTGAGACCCAGCAAACCCAGTGGAGGGGAGAAAGGTGGGAATGCCAGACCAGGTGGGCACAGATCTGCTTGGAGAAGTGTTCCTGCACTGCTGACTGCTTGACAAGGGCCAAATGCTTAACAGGGGGTTGTCATCTCAGAGCTGTCCCACAGAATCACAGAATCATTAAAGTTGGAAAAGACCCCTGAGATCATCGAGTCCAACCATTAACCCAGCACTGCCAAGGCCACCACTAGCCCATGTCCCCAAGTGCCACATCTACACATCTTTTCAACATTTCCAGGGATGATGATTCCACAGCTTCCCTGGGCAGCCTGTTCCAATTCCTGGTCACCATTTCAGTGAAGAAATTTTCCTTAATACCCAGTCTAACCTTCCACTCCCTTGGCACAACTTGAGGTCATTTCCTCTTGTCCCTGCTCAACAGCTGCTTGAGCCCAGTCTCCATAGCCTGGTCCCAGCACAAGACAGGTGAACTCTCCACTTAGTAGCACATTTTAATGGCAGCAGGGAGCAGAAGCTGGAATGGGAAGTGATTCTAGGGATGCTTTGGGCTCACACCTTTGCTGCTGATGGAGTCTCAGGCACTGCAGGAGGCTTTCCTTAAAATGTTTATCCTTGGCTTGTTTTGCCAGCAGGAAGCCCTTCCAGCACACACACACATCTTTGGCCTGTCACGGGAAGGCTGAGAGCCAACGTGTTGCCATGGAAACTGGTAAATGCAAAATTATGACTTGACAGCAGTGTCCTGAGGAAAGAGGATCAACCTTCTTCCATATGTTTCACTCCCTGGCCCAGGGAGTGCGTGTCCCCCCTGCACCACTGTGGGTGGGATGCCCTCCTGTCCCTGCTTCGTGCCAGACACGGGGTGCCAGGAGGCAAGGAAGGACTGTGATATGTGGGAACACAGCAGGGAGGTGCTGTGGGAGGATCCCTCCCCAGGGAGTTTTGCTGGGTGTTTGGTGAGGGGCTGGTTGCTCTCTAGCTCTGAGGGAAATAGCTCCCCAACACCCCTGCCTGCCTGCAGGGGCGCAGTGTCCATGGCATGGACGGGCTTCCCACGCCGGGCTACACAGGGTGCTGCAGACATTTCTCCAGGGCATCCCAGCTCCAGAACCCATCAGTAAACAAGCAAGGCCATGAGGCTGACAAGGGCCACAAAAACACTGAGGGCAGCAGAGGAGAGAGGCAGGCACAGCTCTGCTGCCTGCAAGCCCAGACATCCCTTCCTTAGCAGACAGCATCCAGTCATCCTGGATCTGCTGGTGCTTCCAGCACTGACTACCTCTGCCTCATCCCAAAACAAATCCTGGAGTTATTATGAAGGAGCTCAACCATCTTGGGTGTGACTCTGAAATCAAACTCAACAGGACTGAAATTAAATTGGAATAACTGACAACATCCCATTCGAGCACTGACTGATTTTTCTAACTGATTTTTTAGTGGTTTTTAATTTTAAAAATTGCTACTCTATCAAGTCCATAATGAGCTACTCTTTGCACACTCAGATATAACATATATTAGCAAAGAATTAGTTTCCAGTTTTCCAAGGGGTCAGGCAGTTGCAAGCTGACTGCTGCTGCCTAGGTCAGGATATATGAATGCAACTGTAGTGATGATCATGGGATAAATTTAAGATACATCATGTGTAAATATTTGCCCTTGAAAAATATCATCTTGAATCCATTTGTATCAATTCCCAGTGAGAACCCCTCAGCTTAGTCACTGGGGCCTCTTTCTCCAGGTGCTTCAATGAGGCGGTCCTGAGAGTGACACTGAGAGCAGTCACCCAAGAGTGCATGGGGAGTCTGGAGCAGCCTTGATGGAGCTTTCCTTGGATGCAGCAATCCAGGGATTTGCATGCAACAAGGTCTCCCCGCTGGTGACTGTGGTCCCTGATCAGACAGTATCATGATATACTCTTGCATCTCAGTCCTGGTTAGTCCAGAGAAGAGAAGACTGAGAGGGGATCTCATCAATCCATACAAGTATCTCCAGGGGGTGTCAAAAGGATGGTGCTGGACTCTTTTTAGTGGTGCCCAGCAACAGGACAAGGAGGAATGGCCATTAGTTAAAACACAAGAAGTTCCATCTCAACATGAGGAAGAACTTCTTCATGCTGAGGGTGGCAGAGCATTGGAACAGCTGCCCAGGGAGGTCATGGAGTCTCCCTCCCTGGAGACCTTCCAAACCCACCTGGACACATTCCTGTGCAACCTGCTCCAGGTGACCCTGCCTTGGCAGGGGGTTTGGACTGGGTTAGGGTTAGGGTCCCTTCCAACTCTGACAATTCTGTGATTCTGTGATCCTTGCAGTTGCCTTAGATATTCCTGTGTCCACCTAAATTCAGAAGAGAACAAACCAATTCCTCCCACAGGCCTGTGGGTGGGTGGCGAGGCAACAGGTGAGTTTGGATAACTTCTGCATCCAACCCCCTAATCCCAGGGCAGGAGTCCCCCCAGGTAAGCTGAGCTGCCTACAACCAGCCCACAGCTGGCAGGGAAAGCCTTGTCTCCCCAGGTCGCTGGGCACCTGCCTCAGGTATCCAATGACACTCTTACCCTGCTCCTCTCTCCACTACTCTCTGGGGACACTGGGAATCTTGCTCGCTCTCCCAGGTATGGTAAATGTGCTGAGCATGGGCCTGTGGCTCTGAGGAAACCCCTCAGTGCTCAGCAGTGACCTGGGGAGAGCAGCAGCACCTCCAGCCAGACAGTCCCCGGACCCAGACACTCAGTGAGCAGAGGCGGAGCAGCCCCATGTCATACTTACTTCCCATTCCCATACTTGATCCGGATGTCTTTGCTCTTCTTCAGCTCTTTGCCATCTTTAAACCATTTGTAGGATGGCTGAGGGTTTCCGGCAGTCGCCTCACATTTCAAGGAAATCTTCTCACCCACGTGAACATTCGGGCTTTTCAGTTTCTTCAGTTTGGGGGGAACAGCTGCAAGAAGAGAAACGAGACGCTGTAAAACCTGCCTCTTCCAGAGGCTGCACACACACAGCGGGAGCCCACCGAGCCCTGGGAAAAGCACCTTCTGCCCACACTGCTGTGTGATGAGGGAGAGGGGCTGCCCAGGGGGAACCAGCACGGTCAGGGAAGGAGCAGGGAGGCAGAAATGTCCATGTGGGGAACAGAGGGAGGCCTGGCTCTGGGGGCTCCACATGACCAGCCCTGATGGCTCCTACCCACACTGGCAGGACCCCCATGTCTCCTGACGGTGCAGGGGTCTGCTGGGCTCTCCAGGCTCTCCCACCAAGCTCTTCAGAGACTGTTCCCCTGTTCCCTGCCATTGCTGCTGCTGATTGCCAACACCTACATGACCCCTGCGGCTTCCATGGGCGTGCTGCCAATTCCACAGCCCCACCAGCCCCAGCCAGAATGTTTTGCTGCAGAAGGAGCAGAGGCAGGTCACAGGGAGAGGTCCCCTGTTCCCCAGCAATGTGTCAGGGATGTTCCGTGCCTGCTGAGAAGACCTACGGTCATCGAGCAGGGCAGGGCCAGCAGCACTGAGAGGGGCTGCAATAAAAACCTGCATGCATAAAGGAGGAGAAGGGGAAGGAAAAACATTCTTCAGGCTGCAAGCAGAAAAGTGAAAGAATATAGGTGCATAAAATTGTCTTAGGCCAGCAGTGTCAGGCTGGCCAGCAGCCTTTCCAGTCTGGAGCCTGGCTCTGTATGTGGGTGTTTCAGAGAGGTGATTTTTGCCATGCACCTGGAACATCAGACAGAGAGGGAGACACTTCTTATCAATCTCTGCCAGGCTTTATATCAAACCTGACAAGAAAGGATTAGCAGGCTCGCAATTTTTCTTTCAACTGACGGCTCTGCACTCTTCTAGCTCCCTTTTTCATTTTCAGTGTTAACCTTAAAAAAACCCCAGTAGCTTGCTGGTTTTGCCTTGAGAATATTGGTACCAATGGTTTCCTTGTCTAAAATGAGTTACAAATGGAGCATTTCCTCTGTCTAACATGCACAAACCACCTTCTAATTGCCTCGTGCATTCTGATCTTGTGATATGGCAGAGCACTCAAAGGTGGAGGAACTGGATGGGTTTATTTGAGCAATCACTATTTTACAGATCTTTGTGTGTCTCATTCTTCAAGCCAAGCTAAGTTGCCATAGGTTGGTATTATTTAAAGACTGTTTTCACCAAAAGGGATCTTATACAAGATAAAAAGCACAGTGATCATCAGGCTCCTGTGGTAGGAAGTTCTGAAGACTCTCATATTCCTCACGGGAAGGAGAAGCTAAATTGTCCTTAATCAGAAAGACACAAACACAGACAGAAATGGAACAATTTGGGGTAACAGGAATTAGCTGAGCAAAGCTCACAGTGACTGAAAGGCAAACCCAGAGCCCTGGGTGGGTAACACAGCAGGTCCAGTCCCAAGCACATCAGACCTTCCTCTGCAGCCCCAGTGGTGCCACAGCAAAGGAGCAAACTGAAGATTCAGGAGTGCAAAGGAAGCATGTTTAGCACACCAAGGGAAAAAACAGTAAATAAACAGAACAATAAACTCCACCAAATATTCTTCACAGCTGTTATTTTTGCATGCCCAAGCCCCTCTACAGGCTCCACAGAAACCCATGCCACAGGCAGCAGGATGGGGAGGGCGGTGTGTGGGCTTGGTAGGATAAAAGGGAACAAATTTAAGCTGCAGGAGGGTAGACTTAGATTAGATTTTAAGAATAAATTCTTCCCTGTGAGGGGGGGGAGGTCCTGACACAGGTTGCCCGGATGGTTGCCCCATCCCTGGAAGGCCAGGTTGGACAGGGCTTGGAGCAACCTGGGATAGTGGAAGGTGTCCCTGCCCATGACAGGGGATGGAATGAGATAAGCTTTAAGGTTTTTTAAGGTTGATCCAGCCCAAACCATTCCATGATTCTGATGGGACAGGGACAGTACAAAAAGCACCTGGTCAGCTGCAGGCAATCACTGCAGGCTGCACACTGATATCTGGCACTGCCTCCCAGGTCACCACGCCTTGGCACAGAGAGGCTTCTGACCAAAAACAATCTCGAGCTTTCCCCAAGTTTCAGGAATTCTGGGAAAACCCAAGGTGTCATGGGTTTTGTGAAGCCCATATCCCTGATCCTTGTCTGGAAATGGGTTGCCCAGAAGAGTGGGAAGGCAGGGAATGGAGAGGAGAGCTTGTGTCTTCTCAGAACACTGTGCACGGAGAGCCAGGAAGGTAAACAGGACCTTGCTTTTATAGGGGTCATTTTGGGGCAGAGAGAAATAGACTCTATCAAATATTTATTCTGTCTGATTGTGTGTGTCAGTTTGCTCCTATTGCACCCCGAGGTCACCCTGTCCCATGCCAACAGTATCCATATGCCTTAAATACTGGGAAGGTTCTGACCTTGGCAGGGGTGTATCTGCTTCGTATTATTTCCAGCCTTGTGGTCTGCAGAATTATGAAGCACCTTTCTCCTGAGAGAAAGGTGTGCAACCCTGCCCCTCTCCCCCAAAATGCTGGCAAGAGCAGGGCAAATCCCACAAACCTGGAGGCTGTGTAAGGAGACCACCAAGGACAGGCAAGAAATCTTCCAAGATCTCCATTCCCCAGTTCCTCCCCACCAACGTGAAGCACATCTCACCCAAATCTCTGCACCTCTTGCACCTTTTGCTCTTGGCCACTGGTTATAAATTCCAGGATACTCCTAAACAAGCAGGTCCAAAGAGACACATGTCAAGGGTGGCAGAGGTGTATCCCACACTCACACATTGCATCCCATCCCTGCAGCAGAGAGTCCTGCCCAGATAAAGGAAGGAGAGCATCTTTCCTCCTGAATCTGCATGTATCTGGTGTCTCACTACAGGAGGCAAAGGGGCACTGCATTCAGCTCCAAGCCACACGTCATGGACTGTAATTCCCCAGTTGAATCAGGCAGGGCAGTGAAAGGGGAATCCAGCCCAGAAATATCCTGGACTGTGCCTGGGAAAAGCGCTGTCCACAGAGAAGCAGAGCTGTGCTCCCTGACACACAGCACATCTGTGCCCTCACTGCTGCTCTGCAGTGTGGCTTGTGCTTGGACAGCAGCGTGGGAAGAGCAGGCAGAGCCCCAAGCCTGGGACACAGCACCCAGAGCCATGCTCTGGTCAAAAGGGAAGCCTGGCCTTGGTCTCTGGGAAGGGCTCCTCTGGGCTGGAAAGCCTCACTTCATAATTCCTGCATCTTTCAGAAAAACACAGAAACCCTCATTTAGAGCCATTAACTGATGACTCTGCTTAATTCCAGCCAAAGACTTTCCTCTGGTTTTTACTTGCATTGTTTAAACTGCAGCCCTTATTCATAGTATGAACTTCTCTAACTTTGGCTTCCAGCCAAGAGATCTCTCTGCCTTTCTCTGGTAAATTTGAACCCCATCTAGCAACCAGAAACCCCTTTCCTTTTTAGGTACTTGTAAACTATGACTGAATCACCTTTCAACCTTTTCCAGCAGTAAACTAAAGTAGCATGAGAGGCCAAAGCAGCACATGGAGTGCTAACACTGGAGTATGTCAAAGTTTTACGTTTTGGTTCATTTTCAGCTTTTGACTCATTTCTCATCTCTGCCCTGTCCAAATGACAGAATTGCAGCTCAGAAAGCCATGAGTGTCATTCAAACAGATGCAAGGATCCTGAAAGTGCTCCCTTTACTTAGTGCTCTGAACATTTCGGGTCATTTTAATCTCCTCCTTACTTGGTACTTTTTCAAACCCTCTAGGAAAACAAAGTCCCCAGCTTCATCCATATCAAAATAACACACTATCCCGGGCAAACAGCCTCAGGTGTATACCAGGCAGGGTCCAGGTCCAATATCCCCACGTTTCCATCAATTCCCAGCTCCCCAGCCTCTTCCTCACAGGTTACTGCTACTCAGATGGGATCAGAAATAAAGCACTGATCCAGGGTCACCCACGTCACCCCATCTCCCTGGCACAGGCTGAGCTGAAGCTGCTGTTCCAGCTTTCCATCCTCTGGATCTCACAGAACTGCTCTGCCAGCTCATGGTCTCCTCCAAGCTGGGCTCCCCCTGCCTCCAGGTTCACCAAGATGGGAGGAGGGTTTTGGCTGTGCTTGTCAGACTGAAGGTACAGCTTAGGATCTCTGTCTCTGGTCACCTCGCAGTCCTGTCAACCCCTCCTCTATCCAGATTTGACCCTCCTCTCAATGGGGTGAAGAGCCACCAGCCTCACAACGCCTGAGGTGTTGGACAAAGGGATCAGCTGCATTCCAGGCAATTTTTCTAATAGACAACCACGCTGAGGGTAGGTTGTGCTGCAGAAAGGAGGGTTGCATCTTGGTAGAGCTGAGACCAGCAATAAATGCAGATTTTCTACAGGTTTTTGCTCACTCCAAGGTCAGATGAAACCCCAGCAACTGTTAGATCCCAGCCTACACTAGCTGTGTAGAATTAACCCTAAAACATGCCAGGGCCAGGATCGACAAATGCGCATCATTTCCTAACCTGTTTTAGGAGCCATGTTTGATCAAGACACCTTTTCAGGAGAGGTTTATCCTCTGATAGCAACTGCTGCCAAGTCACCACCTTCTCACGGGGAGAAGAGGGTTACAAAAGCCTAAACCACTGAGCTCTAAACTACGCAACACAAGTTGTTTGAACCTCCGCCATAAAAGGACTCACATGTACACACTGCTTTAATTAATTCACTTCTGATTACATTTGATATAACACTGAAGTACCTTGATGACAACAACACCTCTTTCACTTCTGGTACCTGCAATATGCCTGCAAGCACCTCAGAGCCTCAGCTCAAAACGTCATTAATCACAGGTGGGCAGAGTGCCCAAACAGAGTCCAACAATGGAGCGGTGACAAAACCACATCCCACCCACAGAGCATCCCACATAAACAACCCCTCAGCAGCAAAAAGCAGGAGCAGTCATCCTGGGAAAGGTGCTCTGTGAACTCTGTAACAGCCAGACACAGGC